TCCAACAACAACTCATGAACAATCTGACTTTAAATGGCCTAACATGATTATTAACATGAAATAACTGGAAAAACATGACTTATTGCAAGCTGAGCTAAACTCGGCCGCGGCGGGCGCACCATGCGCCGCTGACGGCGGTAAGCCGTTTTACGACCAATCACGATCTTCTCTTGGCAATTTATACTTGAATGAACATGACATGAATTTATGAATAAATAGACATGAAAATCTCGATAGTTTATTTCTTAACATAATCCATCACTATGTTCGGCCCGTGGGCGCGCGACGTGCGCGACCACGCCTCTCGGCCGAACTTCCGAACAACATGAACATACTTCGAGCAAAACGATATAACTGAACATGATATCACATAAATTAACTAAACAGGATAAGTTTGCTCGAAAGATTTCTGAAGTAAAACATGATGGCTCGGCATGAATTCTACACACGGCCTTACGGCCTAAAGCCATTACATGAGCATGATTTCGACTAAACAGAACCTACGCATCACTAACATAATCAATTCAAAAGTAAGCTGGTGTTACCTTCTTGAACACTTGCCGATCGTTCTAATCGCTCGGAACCACCGGAACCTCCGCGTGTGCTAAGTTATGTTCTCGGCGTGGGGTGCTAAGGAACTAAGGCAACTTGCTCACCTATCTATTGCTGGACTTAATGGAATATAAGGAGAAGATATATAGTGCTGCAAAGTGGGAAAAATCGTCCCAATGCCTCCCTATTTATACTAGCCGAGAGAAGAGAAAATTTATTTGGAGATGATGAAGTGATAACGTGGCTTAATGCCTCCCTTCCACTTGCCATGACTTATATGATTACTTATCCCTTACAAGGATTAATCATCTCCTTAATTATTCTAAGCTTGGCACGTGTAATTCCTTAAGGGGAAGGAAAACAATCTTTTCCCCCATGAGAAGAAAGGCTACGGCCTTTTGCTTAGCAAAATAATTTCCCATGGCTTTGCTATATTGATCATGATTAATTTTCTAATTAATAACAATTAGAGCTTATTTATCTAATTAGACATGATATTAATTACCAAAATTATTTCGAACGTAAACGGAACGTCGAAAATAATTTCGGGTAATCTCGACTGAAAATAATTAATTCTGAAAATTAATACTCGACAATATTAATATGTCGGAACTAAAACATGATTTATATTAATAAACTGACGGGATATTACACTATTTATATTTTATAAAAATATTCTACCTAATATTATTATTTTATACTAAAATGTTTAGTATAAATATGGACATATTTGATGTAAAATTGAGCTAAGTTTTTGGCTAAATTCTTCCAAGAGAAAAACATTCAAAGAGTTGAGTGATAAAACAAGAAAGAGTTCTTGTAAAATTTCCTTATAAATATATATTCTATACTTCTTGAAAAACCGAGTAGTTTCTACTAGCAAAGAAACTATAGTCGGAACCAAAGTTCAAAAGGTGGATACGATTAGAGGGAAGACATTTAGATTCCTAAAGTGAGTAACCACAAGAAGTTATCGTTACCAAACCGGAAATTGATTTCCTCATACATCGTCGGTTTTGAAGGAGTTCAAGAACAAAGATAATTTTTATAAATAACATATCAAATCAAAATTAGTAAAAGTTACTAGATTTTAAATGATGCTTATTTGTTATCTCGTTATACTTATGTACGGAATAAGTATTTATAAGATAAATACTTATAAAATTTTAAATTCCCATGTAAACTCTGTTCCGTACAGTATATCAAACCCAACAGTGGTATCAGAGCCACGTTACAATTTGCATCTTTAAAATCATATTTTGATTTGAAAAATTGTTATAAAAACGAACTGGAATAAAAATCGAATAGAGTATTCGAAAACACGAGTCGTGAAGGATGACACGACTCGTGTGACCGGTCGTGCGAGGTCACACGACCCGTGTGAGAAAGTCACACGAGTCGTGTGACTGGTCGTGTCACATCGCACGAGTCGTGTGATGTGTGACACGAGTCGTGTGACATAAAATTTTTCCAATTTATTCAATGTCACTCTGGCATTTTTCACACGAGTCGTGTGAGTATGCCACACGAATCGTGTGACTAGTCACACGATTCGTGTGACTTGTCACACGAGTCGTGTGACTGATCAGTGATCAGAAAAGAGCTGTTTTGACTTAATATGAGTCATTACTACATCAACATATTAAATTAGTGAATTTATATGGTTGATTTAGGGATGATCATGAGCCTTTTATTCATAATGATGAATGATTGCATTTTTATTCAATATGATTGATGGTTGCATTTTTATTTAATGTGATTAAACGAATGTAATTTATCGAGACCTGCGAGTCTTTTGATTTATTATATTTAAAATTTTAAATTTTTGTATCGTTAAAAGATTAGATCAAGGTGGAGACCGTTTGATGCAAAAGGCCCACGCATGTGTGGGTAATTTTACAAGTTGTAAATTTTGAAGGCCTGTGTATGTACGGGCAGTTAAAATAAATTGTAATAAAAGTAGTTCTATTTATTTTATCACGTACATAGGCATAGACCCATTATGGCTCGAATGGGTCGTATAGACAAGGTCGTGATCATCCCACTGTATGCATGCATTAGATGTATGTTAGGTTTATTTATGCTTGTGATTCATGCGATGAATAATGCGGTAAATAAACACACGTAAAGATGGTAATTGATGAGATCTAAGGAACCCTAAAGAATTAATTTGATTAATTTTATATCAAATCAATAATGGATAAAAATAAGTTGGAACTTATTAATCCAGGCCTTCCATCAAAAGTAGACGACATGAGATGCTACGATGCTTTATCACTGACCATGAGTCGTGGGGTGGTTTTGTGTCAAAAGTTGTGATCCCTACTAAGTATGATGATACT